GTATAGCACTTCCCAGCAGGTGTGTTGCCCTTGGTTCGATTCCCAGCACTGTCAGAAAAATTAATTTAGGACTGGAGAAATGGCTCAGCAGCTGAGAAGGCTCCCTGTTCTTCCAAAGGACCTGAGATCACTTCCCAGCCCCTACATCAGGTGGCTCACAACTTCCTGTGACTCCAACTCCAGGGGATCTGAAGCCTTCTTCTTCTTCTGGCCTCCACAGCCACACTCTCATGTGCAGTTCCCACATGTAGGCACACACACATATCCATAAATATTTTAATTAATTATATGGACAAAGGAGCTAGATAGACAATCACCCATGTAGAATAATAAGACAAGAGGGCTGGAGAGATGGTCAGAAGTTGAGAGCACTGGCTGCTTTTCCAGAGGACGCAGGTTTGATTCCCAGCACCTACATGGTGGGTCACAACCATCTGGAACTCCAGTTCCAGGGACTCTGACCCCTCTTCTGACCTCTGAGGGCAGCAGGTATACGCACAGTGCACATACATACATGCAGACAATACATTCATACACATAAAATAGTCTTTAAACAAAGAGAGAAAAGAAGGCAATAAGTAAGGGAGCTGGCTCAACAGGTAAAGAGTTCAATCCAGCAGCCCGTGGTGGGAGGAGAGGGTCTAGTCCTGAAAGCCACCCTCTGCCCTCCACGTGTGTGCTCTGGCACATGCCCATACACACATCACACACAACACAATAATAAATAGTTTCAAAGGGCCAGTGAGGAGACTCAGCAGGTAATGGCTGTCACAGTCAAGTCTGCTGACCTCAGTTCAATCCCCCAGGATCCCCACGTTGTAGGAGAGATTTCCATACGTTTGCTGTGGCATGTGCAGCTCCTCTCTCTCTCTCTCTCTCTCTCTCTCTCTCTCTCACACACACACACACACACACACACACACACAAATAATAAATAAGTCCTTTGAAAAGAAAGAAAACAAACAACAAATACTGGTGAGGATGGTGGGCAAGAGCCCTATACTGCTGGTGGGAATAAAATTAGTGCAGCTACCATGGAACTCAACATTGAGGTACCTCAAAGAACTAAAGTACAACTCCCAGTCCTCAAGCCATGTGGTGGTGGCGCACGCCTTTAATCCCATCACTCGGGAGGAGGAGGCCGGCAGATCTCTGTGAGTTCGAGGCCAGCCTGTCTACACAGTGAGTTCCAGGACAGCCAGAGCAACACGAAGAAACCCTGTCTCAAAAAACAAATCCAAACGAACAAAAAGCCTCCCAGAGCTCACACGCAGCAAGTCTTGGTGTCTGCTCTCATTTCCCTGCCCCAAATCCTACCATGACCAGTTGTACTACTCCTGGGATACTTCCAGTAACATCGGTACAAACAATAGAGCTGCACACCCATGTTTGCAGAGGCTCTCGTCACAGCAGCCAAGTCATGGGAAACAGCCTCGATGCCCACCGGTGTATGAACAGATAAAGAAAGGCAGTTCATTTATCTATGTGTCTGTGTGTGTATTTACACACACAATGGAGTGTCATCCAACCGTAGAGAAAAATGAGATGATGTCATTTGCAATAAGAACAGAGCTGGAGAGCACAGCAAAGAACCTGCATTTAGATGAGCACTGAGTCCGTCTCTCATTTGTTGAATTGTGGGACTATGAAAGCACAAGGGAACTACCAAGGGTGTGAAAGGGGAGGGAGAGAGATAAGAGAGGGCAGCAAAATATGCTAATGCTAATCAAAACCTGTGGTCTGCAGTGATGTCACTGTGAAACCCAATTCGTTGCACAGTGAGCACACACTTAGGAAGCTAAGCGTGCACATCCGTGCACACTAATCACCTACGTAGGTTCCTGATGGACATTAAGATGGCTTTGTAGGAGGGGCTGGAGAGATGGCTCAGAGGTTAAGAGCACTGGCTGCTCTTCCAGAGGGCTTCAGTTCAATTCCCAGCAACCACATGGTGGCTCACAACCATCCCTTATGAGATCTGGTGCCCTCTTCTGGTGTTCAGATATACATGGAAGCAGAATGTTGTACACATAATAAATAAATAAAATCTTTAAAAAAAAAAAAAAGATGGAGCCGGGTGATGGTGGCACACGCCTTTAATCCCAGCACTCGGAGGCAGATCTGTGTGAGCTCCGAGACCAGCCTGGTCTACAAGAGCTAGTTCCAGGACAGCCTCTAAAGCCACAGCGAAACCCTGTCTTGAAAAACCAAAAAGAAAGAAAGAAAGAAAGAAAGATGTAGCAAATCCCGAAATCCGCAGCTCTCTAAGTTCAGAGCAGCTTTGCCTGTAATAACCAAAGAGCTGGTTAAGGAGATGTTGAGATGGTCCAGTGGATAAGGGCACCGGACACCAAGATCTCTGATCTCTGACCTCTGTCTATGTGTCAAGGCACCCGAGTATGCCAACATACACATACATACGTTCTTACATATACACATACCCCTACACATAAATACCTGCTTTAAACTCATGGTGCTCACTGCAGAGTCGGGGAACACAGTCTGTTCTGCTCACTGCCAAAGCCCAGTGTATGCAACTTAGGCATTGGACAAGTGTTCCTTGACAGAGTAAAGGAACTTTCTAGATGGACCTGACCCCTACTATCACAAGGCACAACCTGGCACCTCTGTTGTTGCTTTTTTTTTTTTTTTTTCTGTTTACACGTATTCTTTGGGGGCCAGACACCCAGCTCCCAAAATAATCTCACACGGAAACTTATTCTTACTTGTGAATGCCTGGCCTTACTTAGCTTGGCTTGTTTCTAGCCAGCATTTCTTAAATTACCCCAGCTACTTTTTGCTTTGGCTTTTATCTTTCTCTAGTCTATATACCTTTCTTTACTTCTTACTCCTTGCCTTGCTGTGTGACTGGGTGGCTGGCCACTGGTGTCCTCTCGCCTCCTTTTCTTATGCCTTGATGGCTTTTCTCCGTCTATTTATTCTCTCTACCTGCCAGCCCCGCCTACCCCTCTCCTGCCTAGCTATTGGCTGTTCAGCTCTTTTATTAGACCAATCAGCTGTTTTAGGCAGGCAAAGTAACACAGCTTCACGGAGTTAAACAAATGCAGCAGGAAAAGAATGCAACACATCTTTGCATCATTAAACAAATGTCCCACAGCATAAACAAAAGTAACACATCTTCAACTAATATTCCACAACTCGCCACCATGATGGGCCACTGTACCCTCTCAACCCCTGAACCAGGATGAACTCTTCCTCCCTCCCTTGAGCTGTTTGTCAGGGACAAACATGGGTAACACGTACCCATGCCTGTGTGGCAGGTATGAAGGCCCCACAGTTGAGAATACTGTCGTCTCTCACAAGCAGTCGTTAACTGGTGCTCCAGTGTCCGGCAGACTCCGCCTCCCCCGTGTCACATGATGCCCAGTTTACACGGCCCACAGCAATTAGAAGAGTCTATGAGGTTAGCGCCGCCCACTCCCTGCCACCCCTGTGGGCTGCTCTAAACCCAGGCTGTTTTCCTGCCCCAGCTGCTTCCGTTGTTTGTGACCGAATCTCACGACACAGCTCTGCTTCACCTAGAACTCACAATGTAGCCCAGTAAGCTGGCAATGATTCCCTGCCTCTTTGCCTCCTCAGTGCTGGGCAGCACGACCACACTCGACTGTTTCTGATGACCCACACAAAGCATGCGTGAAACCAAGAAAGGCGCAAACAAACAAAACAACCTTGCATGCAGCATTCAGGAGGATTAAGTAGGCCGGCTGCAAGTTCAGGGTCAACCTGGACTACCCAGGGACACTGTCTCAGCAAATAACGAAGCAAAGCCTTACCAACATGAGGAGCGAGAGGAGTAGAAGGAAGACATGAGAGGAGGAGGAGGGTGAGAGGACAGGAGGAGGAAGAGGGGGAGAAGACAGGAGAGGCGGAGGAGGAGAGAAAAGCAGAGAGGAAGAGGAGGAGAAAAGGAGCAGAAGGAAGAGGCAGAGAGGGAGAGAAGCAAGAGGGGGAGGGAAGGGAGCAGCAGGAAGAGACAGAGGAGCAGGAGGAAGGAAGGACGTTAACTGTGGCGCTTAGGAAGTCAGAGGTCTCTAGTGTTGCCCCTAAGGCTGGTTTTGGTTTCAGGCATCAGTAGGTGTTCTGTTTTGTTTGTTTGATCTTTGTTGTTGCTATTGTTCTGTAGTGATTCACTAGAGATAGTTATCAACAACCATGCCAATTAAGCCAATTAAGAGTTTAAAGTTTTTTTCATGGACAGCCAGACCAAGAGTGGGCTTGAGTGTCAGTGTTGCGCAGGTCAGTGGAAAAGAGTCACTCCAAAAATATGATTCAGGCTTAGCAAAAGAGCAGCCCCGGCGTGGGGGTGGGTGTTCAATCTTGATGGACT